TTACTTTAACAATTTTCCCTGTTCTGTCAAATTACAGAAAATATCTTTTTAAAATCACAGGGGAAAAAAAGTATTAATTTACTTGGTGGTGATAAAAATAAACTGACCACATCAATATTAATTTGCTCTTTAAGAATGCGTAAATGTGAATGTTTAAATCTGCTAAAAATGTCTTTTTTTTTTTTTACAGATATTTGTTGTTATTTTCACAGTTTTTTTTTTTGTTGTTTTTTTTTTTTACAGTTTTTGAATGATACAATTTTCTTTGTTTGTTTTTTTTAACCTTTTTTTCTGGGCTGCCAGATTTTATTTTTTTACAGTTTTTCTTTTTTCTAACATTGTACTGACAGAAATTTGAGTTTAAATTACACATTATATTACGATGATGCAAATACCAACATTATTCCATGAGCCTAACACATCAAAATAATATTTCCAGCTTAAACACTATCTGTTCTGGCCTGAAATATAAAGGAGTTTTCGCCTTCTGAAGCCAATTATGATAACAAACACCCCGTGCACGCTCTTCAGATAAGCCCTGAGGGATCCCATCATCACCTGAAGTTGACGTCATTAAAACACACAAAAAAGCTCGAGTGCAAACAATTGAATATGCAGAGCTGCTTGTAAAGCCACACCGCAGCTTCCTGCTTTGAGTGGGTGTTTAGTGGGTAAAGTGGTGTGCTTTGACAACACACACAGCAGCAGCTCTTCCCTGTGGATAGTTCCCCTCCTGATTTCAATTAAGCGCCATATAATCAAGAAGCATGACTGAAAGGAGAGGAACACATGCTGCATGTTGAGAATTTAGACCTCCATGAGCTTCATTGTAGCAGAAAAAAGTGCTAAAAATATACAGTGTGATTGATAATCTTCCCTGAAACCCAGTAATAAAGGATTTTGTGTCCGTAAGAGGCTTTTCTGGGACATGACAATATTGTGAAGCTGCAGTAATAATCGTCAGGAGTACGTGTTGCGCTGCTGCATCCAGAGGTAAAGCAGGAATGTAGTGGCCGTCGGGGAGCTAAAACCCCAGCAGCACAGAACAATAATGCTCTTTTAAACAGCTGAGAGCTGCAACCTGTTTGAAAAGTGGAGCTTTACGGCTGCTACAAATGCTGACAGGCCTTTAATCCCGACGGCCGCGGCTGTCTGCGCTCGCCGCTGCCAAGAGGGAAAAGCCAAAAGCGTCTCATCCTGATAATTCCTGGACTCACCGGCCACACCGACGGAGCGCTGCGCCACCTCTGCAGGTCCAAATGCATCCTACGGATCCTGAAGGAGGCGCATGACAAGTATCCGAACGCTCCGACCGACAAATGTGCCACCGAGGATTCAAAACACAAGCTCAAATAGTGTACATCCCTCTGTAATTTACATAACAAGATGTTTTATGGGCCGTGCACGTTGGCCCGCCAGTGTGTGTGTGTTTGCACGCGCTTCACTGTCAATACGAATCAAGTATGTGTGCTCAGAAACCAGTCGGACCTCATTGTCAGTTTAACAAGGCCAACAGGTGATGCAACGTCAGTTAAACAGGGTTTTCAACTCCAACAGCAAAAGACGCTGTACTTTCCTTTTGTCTGCCTGAAACCTGCTCCTCCGCCGCTGATGATGGTCATTTCTGGCTATTTTTTGATTCAACCCAAGAGCAGAATCATTTCCAGGAGGAGCTGCAGTTTCAGAATAACTTTTACAACATGACTTGGGAGACGAGTGGGCAGAGGAACGTGGCATGTAGTCAGTCTATGACGTGGATTCAGATGCTGCCGGGGATTTTTTTATCTCTGTTGTCTCGACGGGTAACTTTAACCCTCTGAACCCCGAAAACCTGCCTCGGGTTTGAAAGTCATGCTGGTTTTCACTAAAATAACACCATTTATCAGTCAGAAGATGTAACAACAGAAACAATCTATGGAATTTCAACTTTCTGATGGTCCTTGAACTAATCGTGACCAAATTTAAGTGTAAAAATGAAGATGTATTTAATCAAAATCCCTTTATTCGACATGTGTCATTTGTTTCATAAACTTCTATTTTTCGGCCTGGTTTTAGACTGCGTGTTAAACTGGTTTCAGACTGTATTCCAACTAGGTTTTGGACTGATTCTCAACTGTTTTCCAGCTAATTCGAGATCAGTTTTAGACTGGTTTTAGATTAAGTTCTGGACTGGTTTTAAACCGTTTTTGTGACTAGGTTTGGGACTGGTTTTAGGCATTGTTTTCGACTAGTTTAAGACTGGTTTAACATTGATTCCTGACTGTTTTTCACCTAATTCTACACCAGTTTTGGACTGTTTTTCTGAGTGGGTTTAGATGTGGTTAGGGTCTGGTTTGACACCTGATTTTGGACTCCTTCATCAGCGCCAAAAACTTTTAAAACAGAAAGAAATGACAGACTTTTAACCGAAAACTACTCATCTGAGAGTTCTCAAAGAAACGTGTGATAATTCATCAAAATCACTTCATTCTACATGTTTCATTTAGAACTTTGCCAAAAACAAACCGCTTGTACTGGCCAGATTATGTAGAAAACAAAAGATTCTGCACTCATGGAGACGACCACGAAGCCATGATTTACTCAGCTGTGGCCAACAGTGACGTGACAAAAATTCTGGGACTTTTTGACTGAATTGCAGGCTGTGTTTACTCAGAGCAGAGAGGTGATAAATATAGAAACAGCTCCAAAATGTAGGTGGAAACATTTCTATAGTGTGTGGAGTCACCATTTTGTTTCTAGTGCTGGTAACACCTGAGGGCACTGAGAAGAATGTTGTACAAGATGATTCCATAAATGCAAAATTAAAAATCTAAGAAATGCAACTCTTTCTTTTATGATATATGGCATTAAAGCTGTCATGGTTGTATTGTTTTCTTGGATGTGCGGGACTTTATATCGCAGTGAAAAATGAGTCAAAATGTGACAGGAGCACAAAGAAACTGCCTAATGTTGAGCAGGTTAGGATGGTGCAACAAGAAAAGCTAATCAATTAGAATTTACATGCACTTGGAGGGGAAAAAATGGTTCCCCCTTTTCCAAACTTTATCCCTCTCCAACATCGATTAAATGCATATTTTTGACCATCTCTGCAGGATTCTTCGTCACTTTAACTTGCTGCTGCTTTTAGATCCTCTCTGGAACCAGTGAGGATGTTTTTCTGGTCGTGATGGTAGCTGCAGGTAAATAAATACCGTACATTTTACAAAAAACTGCCAGGAACACGGAGGTCCCGTGTGATCCTTCACACGCCGTTGAAATATCGACCACATCACAACAAACAAAAAAAAAACCCAGACCGGCGATGTGACGCGCAGATAGAGAAGCTGCATATTTCAGTTTAGCATCAGCAGACGACACCTCCATCCTAAATCAGTGTTTGTGTTTGTCCCAGCTGTGTCCGTACAGCCTCCCCTCCTCCCCCGACGCTCTCCCAACATTCCTGATCGTGGCATTTCTTAACTGTGTCAATGAGTCAGGAGCAACGGAGGGGAGGGGGAGGGCAGGGATGGTAACAACCAGGGAAAGATGGGGGGGGAAAGGGGAAATAATATTCCACACAAATGCCCACAGTGAAATTAGATCATGTGGCGAAGCGATGCCCTGAATTCTGAGGGCATTTCGAGGGGGTGGGGATCGCACAGCTTCCACCGCCTGCTGCCTCCGCAACACCTCTAAAAGCTAAAAGTGGCACTTAGCAGCCTCCTTCGTCTGTCTTTAACCGCTAATTAGAAACCCCTCGGAGGAAGACGAGGGTCAACACGCCACACGGTCAGACTGAAACACATGTCGGCAGCGCGGAAACGAGAAAAATGTTGCACAGAGAAGCACAGATTTTTTTTGAAAAAGTTGAGGATAAATCAGCCTTAGCGTCATTTTATGCACATTTACAGCAACTAAAACAAGTTTACATCTTAAATTTAAGAGTGTTTATAACTGTGTGTTAAAATAATGAAAGTTATAGGAAGAAAAGTAAGGAAGCATTAACATTTTTAATTTCTAATCAGCACTACGTCACTAAATGACAGCAATTGGACTAAGAAGTGTCAGGAATTTCCCATCATTCCAATTATTTTCACACACTATTTGGTCTATAAAGTGTCAGAAAATGGTGAAAAATATGAATAAATGTTTCCCAAACAGGAAGAAAACATCTTAAATGTCTTGTTTTGTCCAAACTCAAAGTTATTCTGTCACAGACGAGTAACAAAACCAGAAAATAATTATATTTAAGAAGCTGGAATCACATAATTTTGTCACTCAATTTGACAACTAATTGACTATTTGTTGCAAGTTTAACCATCACAAATCAAATCAGCTAAACACTGGTAGTCAATCAGCCAAATATTAAAAAAAAAAAACCTCAAACACAACTGCATTGTAAGTCCAACTGTAGCTAAACACCACCTTAGCAACAGGTAACGTCTATCTAAATAATATCAATCCACTGGCAGCGATAACAAAAGTTTCTCAGAAAGTCAAAACAATGAGCGCCTGAAGGCAACACGACTCTCTGCCTGGAAAGGTTGAAGAATCTGTCAGCGGCTGAGCGGTTAACAGACTTCAAACAATGGCTACAGTTGCACAGAAAAAACGCCGCCGACATGCATGAGTGACAAATTGCCCACGGTGGTTTTCTGGAGAGCATTTTGCTATTAATTCTGGAAAACCGCAAAAAGAAAGAAAGAAAAAAAAGTCACCATGGGCACCGAACAATACGTCTGCATTATGTTTGTGTGCAAAATCAAACAGGATTTAGTCAATCAGCAAGAATTTAAATGATCCACTGATGCAAAGTCACAATGTCAGCTGTCTTTTCAGTATCTTACCATCCTGAAACATGGTTTTTATTAGTAAAATAAGCTACTAGAAGATTGATTTTGACATTTCAGAGGATGAATTGACTAAATCTGAACCTGCTGTCAGATCATTTGTACGTCCGTAGAATCTGCACGACTGAATCAGCTGAGTCTCCTCTAACATGTAGGTTGACCCGTCCTTACCCTGGGCTGTGCGGTGGGCATGGTGGGTGGCGTCGGGGGTGGCGACGGGCCGGTGGTTCCGCGGAGAACCGCCAGCCAAATGCAGCGAGGCTCGGGGGAGCTGCAGTCCACCCCCACCGGGTTCTGGAAACTCCAGTCTGACCCGGCCGGCGCTGGGCACGGGAGCATGGCGGCGGGCATCGGGGCGCTCGGTTTGCTCAGATCCGCATCGCTCGCCACCAACATGAGCTGCGCGCAAAGTCCGGACGTGGAAACAACGCAAGACGTTCAAGCCAAAAGAGAGAGGATGCAGATCTTCCTCTCAGGAGTCTCTTCTCTCCTGGCTCCGGTCCATCGCCGTCGCTGCCGAGCCTGAAGTTTTTAATCCCACAGGTTCCACATCACAGCCTCCTGACCTCCGTGAATGAACTCAGCAGGCAGCGGATGGAGGGGAGCGTGATCAGAGGTAGGTCTGGTTTCACTACAGACGGCACGCACAGAGAACGAGTGGCAGCGTCCCTCCCGTCCGGTGATGTTCTGCATACAAAGCCACTCTGTCCACCCCCAAAAACACACAGCGCTGTCCCAGAGGGCTGGATCGGCCGTCTCTCCTCCCTCCCACCGGCCTCTCTCTTCTCTCCCTCACTCTCTTTTCCCCCCTTCTTCTTCCACCCTCCCTCTGGATCTCTAAGCCGATCTCTTCATCTCACCTCAGTCCTTCACCACAGTGAGCCTTTTGCTTTCTCTTTCTTCTTCCTTGTTTTTACAACTCAATCCTTCCCCGCTTCTACATGAACCGGCTCAACTGTCATCAGCAGGCAAATCCAAAAAAAACCAGCAGACATCTCAGAGATCAGCTGAAGATATCTCCTGCATCGCTGCTGCTCTTACTCTAAACCCTGTCGGCTGCACGTGTGCTGCATGTGTGTGCAAGCGACACAAACACAATGACAGAGCTGTGATCCTAAACTTCACAAAAGCCGGCCCTGCCTCCATTTCACCGCCTCCCCTCCACTCAGAGGGGAGACAAACAAAAAAAAAAAAAAAGGGAGAGAGAAAAGCAAAAGAGGCCAATTTCCAGTACAAAGAGAAAAGAAAACATTTGCTTTGCTGCACTGTTTCGCTCCCTTTTTCTTTCAGTTAAGAGGGGAAAATACAGAGGAGGGGTGGTGACAGAACGTGGAAAGAGAAGGAGGAGGAGGAGAGCGTTGCGGTTGTTGTAAAAGCTCTGAAAATAAAACGGTTGCCGCTGCTGGATGTCAACATGACCTCTTTATCGAACCTGTACTCCCTCACCGACACACTCCTGCTCAGTGGATCCGCCCAAAACCAAACGCTTCGCCTCTAAAGCGGTCAGAAAGGGGAGTTCTCACCAAACAGCCGGGCGTCCAGAGCGGCAGACAGGTGACCATGTTGCTGCAGACGGCTTTCCTCCTTTCAACGCGCCGTCACATCCGTTACCAGTGAGGTTAGACGGGTTTCACCTGCCGCGCGGCGAGGGCAAGTACCGACTCGACTTGAGCGAGGACGGAGACTGTACCCTCTGGATACGCTGCACTTTGCCAACCTGAACACACACTGCAGGCTTGAATAGTTTGAGCGCAATTACCAGGTGATAAATTCAAAGACGGGAAACCTGAGAGCTCAAGGATATCAAGATTTACAATGCAAATGTACACGATTACACAAAGTGATTAGTGGTTTTACAAACTACTCTCAAGGAGTTTTTTTTTCCTATCAGCGTCAAATCTCACAACACTTGGTTATTTTGATATGTTTGCTCTTTGTTGGGCTTTTAGAACAGTGGGTTGTGAAAAGAATGTGTACGAATTACAAATAAAGTGTGATAAAAGGAGATTTATCATCAGTCGTGTCAGCTGCCGACATCTCCAGCACTTTTATAAATTTCTCAAGGGACCAAAAAGTTTAAAGCGATTACAAAAAAGACAACTAATAAAAGGACATCCTGACTTTAAATTTTCTCGCTACAGTTTTTGATCCCCGGTTGTGCTGTTTTTCCATGTGCAGACTCCTGTTTAACTCAATCTCATTCATATAAAACTAAAACATGGTGACTGTGTGCACTTTATGATCTTACAGTGTTATAGCGAGAAATCTAAAAATTCATCCTTGAGCAGGAATTTAATGACAGCAGGAAGGAAAAACTCCCTTTAAATAGGAAGAAATGTCCAGCAGAACCAGACTCAGGATGGATGGAGTTTGCTTCTAGGAAGCAGGAACCTCCACGGCTGAAAAATGAACTAAAACCTGCAGTTCCATAAATGACCACTTGAGGCTGCCTCCAAAGCCAAGTCAATCCCCATAGACCCCCATGACAAAAATGTGCAACTTCACAGCAGAGAAATACTTGTCTCCAGCCTGGTATGATGAACTTTTTTGGTCCCTGAAGCTAATTTGCACCTTAATTACAACTGTCCTGGGGGTAAATCTTTATATTATTCACCAGATTAAATTGTACTAAGGCTTAAAGTTATGCATATTTAAAGATGTGACATATGGGCTAGGAAGAATCAGCCACAGAGCTTTACAGCTGCTTTTCAGGAAATTTTGTGAAAGTTAGCAAACACGGATGTAAACAATATGAGATTGACGTAAAACGCAAAAAAACAAAAAACAGGTTTTGCAAATACTTTTCAGCACGTGTTTAAGTGAGTAACACTGACATGTTTACATGAAAACGCCACAGAACTCCACTTTCCATAATGAACTCAGTAGTTCAGAGCAAGTCAACAGCCACGTACATGATGTTCTCAGTTGGGTTTCCATTGCAAGAGCAGCAACTAATGATGATTTCCATTGATTAGCTGTGCATAACCTAAAGATGTGCAGTTGACTGTTATAAAGGAGGAAAGAAACCTGAAAATATTCACATTTAAGAAGCTGCAATCAGAGAATTTAGATGTTTTATGCTGAAAAAATGACAAACCGATTCACCAGGAAAAGTTGGCAATCATCAAGTAATTGTCGCAGTTTTGAGTGTGTTTACTTCTATTTGTAATAAAAGGTTGTTTTGAGTGTAAATGTGCAGCATCAAAACCCTGAAGAGTCCTGAACCGAGCAAACTTTATCGCTGACAAGTTCAACTTTTCCTTTACACGAAGAAAACCGAGTTATTTCCTGTTTAAACTAAACAACTAGACTAAGTTTAGGTGGATCTACACTTGACTTCATCCCTGGTTTAAATAGTTTATTGAGTCAGCGTTCACTTTCACTAATACACACACACACGCGTGCACATGCGAACACAAAGGCTGCGTCTGCCGTGCACGCTCACACACACACACAAGCCTCACTGAGTCACAGCCGAGTATAAATACACCAGCCTGTGTAATTATGGTTCCTCTTAAAGTCAGAGTTCTGTGGCTGTGGGGGGTTTCAGACCAGAGCTCCGGGTCCGACGGAACCGCCCTGCCGGATCACGGTGCCGGAGGAGGACGTCCTGACAAAAGGCCACACCCGGGCCGGTGGTGGCATACGTGTTGGGGGGGATTTCATATCACATTTTTCACAATAACAGTTAGTTTTGGCGAAGAGGGAGCAGCGCCTAATTCGGAAACAAAAGGTCTCTGTCCGTCCAGCTCGCTGCCTTTCTCTCTCCTCTTCGTGAACCGTGGAGGCATTTACAAAAAGAGGAGGACGAGCGTGAAGAGCAAAACAAGAGAAGTGAACAAAAAGGCATTGAGTTACAGTTTACGTGACGATCACACGCGAAGAGCCGTGACAATGGCGCACCTCCCGGCAGCGGTGACCCGCGCCGGCTCCTGTTGGGCCCAAACAAGCCCGAACAAGCTGCTCGTTCATCATCAGGCCTCGTGCGCATCACCTTCCTTATCTGATGGCTGCACCCCAGACGGCCTTCATGTTAGCAGTTTTTTTCAAGCACAAAGCTCTTGAAATGAGGAAACCAAAGGCCCGACATGTGCCGCTAATCTCGGCGGAGAGATGCCTCCCTGATAACAAACCCATCGGTGGAAAGTGAAAGGGGCTGAGGAGGGAGGTAATGCGGTGCAGAGCCGGGTTGTAACGGACAGATTAGTCTGCTGATATGTTTTAATCCGCCTTCATACTCATAACACTGGTGCGTGCCAACAGATTAACACACACAAGAGGCTTCCACACCGATGTGTTTTTTTCCACTGTGGCTTCCTCGCAAGACAAAACAAAGCTTCTCTCCTCTAAAACACAGAGCTGCGAGGAGGAGGAGGTGGAAGGTTTCAGACTGCCGAGTTAGTGAGCTCACAAACCAAACCGAGCTGCAGACACAATGACGGGGTGTTTTTTTTTTTATTCCTCCAGAACACAGCCCGGGTTTGATGCTCACAATGAAAAACCGAAGCCACAACAGAGATAACGGGCCGGAATGCGGAGTCTGGAAACTCTTAAGGAAAAAAAAAAAGGCGTCCTCGGAGTGTGAATTCTGTCCCCTACTGGTGCAAAGAAACACTTCAGTGACTCAACATGCGGAGCTGGAGGTGATGAAGCAGCAGCCACATGAGTTACATGCATCATCACGCCGTTGCTAGAAATTAGTGACTCGGATTGAACCGCAGAAATACGCTCATGATGCACAGCGGTGACAGCAACCTCCCAATGGGTTCCAGCGATAAATCAGAGGGGTCACGGGATAAGTACACTGTAAAAAAAAAAATACTGGTTTTACCTGGAGTTATTTTACAGATTTGGTAAAGTACAGCGGACATCTAGTAAATTTACAAAGAAAAAGAAGTAGTTAAGAAATTAACCATCAAAAAATCTGAATTGAAATGAAAAACAAGCCAAAGCTGTACATTATGTGTAGATCAAAAATCTCTATTTTTTATTTGTATTTTTTAAAATAAATGGTCATTTGTTCCTAAGTTTGACAGGATTCTTTTTTAAAAAAACTGTATTTAAACCATCAAAAGACACTATTTTACTGATATCTGCTATTATGTGAAAGAAAAATTACATGTATTAAGGAATGAAAAATAGTAAATAATTATTTGTAATTTTTTACAGATTTTCCCTGTTTTCCTAGATTACAGATAATATCTAGTAAAATCACATAAAAAATATTAATTTACATGTTGACTGTAATGAAAAAACAAGACAAAACTGTGCATAATGTCCACAAATAAAATCTAGATTTTTACAAATAGCAATGCACCTTTTTTTACATTATACTACAAATATTTCTAATTATTTTCTTTCTTTTTTTTCATATATCACATTCATATGTTTTCAGTATTCTGCATTTTTTAAACATATTTTTTTTCTGGCAACATCAATAAATTAAACAATGACTTCAAAGCTTCCCCATCGGACAAACTAATGTGATGACACAGCTTCTAAGTGAACCCAAGCATCTTTTTCTCCACCGCTGTCCGTAAAAGACGTTCTCAAATATCAGACAACATATACGCCGATGCCGATATATCTGCCACAGATGCTATCTGCCGACCACTGTATCAGTCAGGTGCTAGAAGAAAGGTTTGAATGTGAGCAGAAGTGAAT